TTCTGGAACTGGAGATAGAATCTAACGCCCTTGGTCATACTCAGCTTGACTCTCAGGTGCTTTGTTCATGAATGAATGAATAAATAAAGTGATTTCATTGAGTTTTCAAGATGATAACAACCTAATAAATACAGTGAAGAATCACCTGATGGAATAGCTTCATTTCCAGGCTTATTTTCTCCAATGTCTGAGCACTGTGTTAATCTTTGTGTTATAAGAGAAAAGTATTTAAGTATCACAATGGTGAGCCATTATGGAAGGTATGGCTGCATCTGAAAAGCACTTTTACTTGAGTCATAAATAGCATACATGGATCAAAGTGCAGGAGTAGATAATACATGCCAGGTTTGGGAGTAAATGTTAGCTAGATGCATAAGGGTCTCCTAATGATCCCAACAGATTTTAACTTAGGGAATGAATAAAGACTTATTATTTAAGGTTAGAATCCCTAATGTAAACTCAATAATTCAGTCAAGTTAATGACCTTCACTTTTAATTTGGCTTAATCGATGCATAAAATAGAATTATTCTTGTTCTGACTGATTTATGAGAATGGATAGAAGCTCATTTCAATTTGTAATTAGTAAGAATATATTTTTAAAATTATCCCTCTCACCCACTCATACTGAGCAATATCTATAATGCTTGCTCTCTTGTTATTTCTAAAGTCCTATTACCAGTTAATAGAACCTAGCCAACCACAAATTTCAATAACCAATCTTTTTCTTCACCATTCCACTTTTCAGTGAAATAAATGACAATAAAGGCAAAAATACAGTCTTATCAGGATTAAAATCATTCAGAAATGTGTTCAGCCTAAACTACCCTATTTGTACGTTGACCGCACCATATCTATATAAAATAATAGACCACTGCAGATTCAGTCATTCTCCTTATAAAGTACTTTCATATACCTACACTTAGAGTTTCACCATAGTCCTTTGAGATAGTTATGGCGATTCTCATCAACATTTTACAGATGAAGAAATGGACCTCTAGAGGGTCTTATAATGTCACCAAGTAGTAAGTCGCGCCTACGCTACTGACTCCAAGTCTTATATTATTTCCATGTTTGTCATACTATGATTACTAAGACAAAATAAACACACACTTGGGTCTTATAATGTCACCAAGTAGTAAGTGGCGCCTATGCTACTGACTCCAAGTCTTATATTATTTCCATGTTTGTCATACTATGATTACTAAGACAAAATAAACACACACTTTCAGATTATATCTAAGTCAAAATTCAGGAAACCAGTAAACCTCATTCATGGAATATTTTACTTTACAGGAACATAGAATTCACAGGAAGCAAATTCCAGAGGCTACCAGCTCCTTATGTAAGATGTGCACACTCCTTGGTAGCCTAATTGTCCTAGGTATCTTTGGGCTGCTGGTGATGTATTAGGCATAAGTGGCTTTTTCTGCCTTTCTTGAAAGAGGCTTCAAAGAAAAGTAGGTCCTTACTTCTTCCAAGTTCTTAGTGCTTGGTTGCTGTGAGGGTGTTTTTAGTACTGTCTACAGCAGCAGTACAAGAGAACTTTCTTAAATGATAAAAATTTTCTGATATCTGCTCTGTCCAATATAGTAGTCATTAGCCATATAGAGTTACTGAGCACTTGAAATATGACTGGTGTGACTGAGGGACTAACTTTTTAATTTTTAAGAGATTAATTAAAATTTAAACATAAATAGCTACATGTGGCTAGGAACTACCATATTGGACAGAGTAGTTTCAGACAGTTTAAGGTTCTGGTTCACAGGGCCCAGCAATAACATTCTTGACAGATCACCTAGTGAAGGTACAATAGAAGTTATGTATTTAATTACAAGAAGTTATGTATTTAATTATACCTTAATTGGCTCTAGAAAAGGTTTGGAGCAGAATATTGGCATTGTCAATAAGAAGGCATATGGGAATTTTTAAATAAGGGATAACAAATGGGGAGAATATGTTTGGTAAATATTAAGAGATGAGAGAGAAAAACAGTGCCATTTGTATTGAATTTGAATTTCTAAATGCTATGATTTGGAGCAGGATGGAACTATCAATTAAATACCAAAATCTAATTAATGAAGATGAGACTTTACTATGAGCTGGAATGAGAAGAAAGAGGAAATGAACAGAACATGAGGTTCTGCTGTATGTTAAGGTGAACTAGAACTCTAAGACCATCCTTAATGGAGCTACCTACTTGACAGAATTGTGATGATTCAGTAAAATGATTGATGGAATAACTTAGCATAGTGCCTCATATATGGTAAGCATTTCACAGGGATTTTTTTTTTTTTGGAATAGGGCATAGAAGAGGAGATATAGATAACATAGGGCAAGTAAAGAAATGCCACATGACCATACCCATTTGTGAATTGCTGCTACAGAGAAAACTGTTACTGAGGAAGGTTTGTCATGTCTCCCAGGTATGTTAGGTTAGACAACACTGGAATAGTAGGACCAGAGGGGAAAGAGCTGGACGACGAAGGAGCTGGAAGAAAGGTAAGAGGAATGCTTGTATGTTAAGTGTTAGTATTTTTGGTATGTTCTTTAATATAGTTCACTCATGCTGATGTTTTGTCAAAGGTAATCAAAGAAGGCAGTATGGAAGAGTATTTCAGACACCATGATATAGTCGGAAAAGTCCTGGCCCTGGAATCAAGTCAACTGAGTTCTAATTTTTCCAACATGTGACTTAGACTAATGGTTTTCTTTCTTGTAAAGCAATGGTGCTAAATGATATTCAAAGCTATTCTAGTCCTAAAATTCAATAGTATAATTCTAAATATGAAAGTGCCTATGAACTCTGGTTCTCCAGACTTCCTGAAGCCCTGCTACTCTTTTAGAAAAGCCTGCTGATTTAGTTTTCTAACTTGTTTCCATAGTTTTGGAGCTGAAGTTGTGTGAACAGTGGTATCTCAAGCAGCATGCAAAAGCAGTTGGGAGGGTGGGAGTGCGTGACTGTGAGTGGGTGAATGCATTAAAGAGAAAAGGGTTGGAAGAGAGGAGAGTGTGTGAAAGAGAAAAGCAGGCCTCCCTCCTTTGTCATTCTCCTGCTAGAATCCCCAAGAACAGCTATTCAGAGCCAAATACCAAAATGAAGGCATGAAAATGGCTTGGACTTTGAGTTAAACAGATCTGATTTTGAATCCAATCTCTGGAATCAAGTTTCAGTTTCCTTCTCTGTGTGATACTAATGGTTAGCAGCTATTGTGAAGTTTAAATGAAATATTATTACCGAGCAGATAGAGGTGTTCAGTACAAACTAGGCCTCTCCAAATTTGGTCAATCCTTTCCCCCATCTTACCCACAAAAGACTAGCTAAAGAAGCAAACACACAGGGCTACTTAGCGATCTTTATGAGCATGTAAATAACATGCGGTGGGGTAAGAAGGGTTCTCAGAAGAGGAAAAAACTATAACCATGAAGCCCCTTCCCTTTGTGTAGCCTAGCAATTCTCTGATTCTTGAAGGCTACGGAAATGTTTATTATCAAAAGAGCATCCTTGGCTGCGTTTCAACACTCTACCGACAGGAAGACTCACTGCTCAGGTAGAGGAAGTAGAACGAAGAAGCTCCCGAAGTTAGCAAAGCTGGATCCTGAAGTGACACCCGCTTCCTCCTCTTCCACCCAGAAAAGCCGGGAACCTTTTCCCAAGCGGAGCCCCGGGGAAGCAGAAAGCCGGGAAAGGCAAAGCCCCTTTACTTGTTTTTCTAGGTCGGTTGCTTAGAATCCTTTACGTGGTTCCAACGCACTTTATGCTCGAAGGGAATGCGGGCCCCGGCCGTATTAGCAGCCAGCCTCCGAGAACTTTCAGCACCGTGGACAGCGCCATCCACTGTGCTCAGCCCCAGGCGGAGAACTACCTTGCCTCCGGCGCTCTCCTATACCCTGTACCTATGGGGAGGCAGGTTGTCTTCCTGCGGACCTTGGGCAACTCGGGCCAGTGACATCCCCGGACACTCAGGCGAGGATCCCTTCGCCAGAGCCAATTCCTGTGAGTCTTTCCGCTCAAAACCTCAAGGAAGGGAGCCTCACACAGGTGGGGAGATGAGGAGTGCCAGGAACAGGCACGAGCCCTGCTGCTCTAGCCTTTCGGCATCTCTTCTCAGCCTTTGCTTTGCTCACTCTTCAATGGCAATATAAAATACTCATTTAGGGAGGGGGCAGGGTGACACAGGAGAGAGAAGGAGGGCGGGGGCTGCATCCCGCGTTACCACGCTGCCCTAGCCTGGCCCTCTAGCATTCGAGGGGAGCCGGTGTGCATTGGGGTGGGGAAGAGAGGAGATGGAGGGGTGAAGCCGTGCAGGAGAGCTCCCCTTGCTGGGGCTGCCGGCTCTGGGCAGGGAGCTTCCCTTCCCTGGACACCGCTCCCGTCACGTCCTCCTTGCCGCCCCCGGGCGAGTCACCGCTCTCCGGGGACGGACGCCCCTCGGGGCGCCACCGGCCTGGTCTGGGCGCCGGGCTCGGCGGGAGTCCCTTTGAGGAGTTTGCTCCCAGGTAAAAGGGCAGACGTTGCTCCCGACCTCCCCACGGACTGCAGCCGGAAAAGCATCTCGGCTTCATGGGCTCAGTCGGAGGCGGAGAATGGAGCTGCCCGTGCAGGGTGCGCGCCAAGGCGGGGGACAGGACGCGCCCGGCGTCTGCCGAGACCCGGGCTGCCCGGACGCAGCTCGCAGCTCCCCCTCTGCCTCCCGCGCTGGCCCCCGCCCCGCCCGGCAGTTCCCGCGAGGCAGAGCCCGGTGTCCCCAGACCGCGGGCGGTCGGGGCCTCATTCCGGGCCAGAGCTGGAAAGAGCCTGACCCAGCTCCTCCGTTCTTCCAGGGAACCCCTTCCCGGAGGGCGCCCTCGGCCTCCGCGCCATATTCATGGTCCCCCGCTCCCAGGGACTCCGGCTCCCTGAGTTATCCCGGAGAGGCGACCATCCGAGTTGCAGGGGTCCCGCTGGGGCGCGGGGGTCGCGGAGAGAGACAAACTGCGGCGAAGGGGGCCGTTCACTCACCGGGGTGGGGGCTGGAGGCGACCGGCTGGCTGCCGAGGCTGATGGCTGGCTGTCCGCACTTACAGCGCGGGGCTGTCTCTCCAGCTGGGATGGGAGGTGGTGGTGGCGGCAGAGGAAGGCAGGAGGCAGCCTCTGCTGCTGAACAGCTCCTCAGTTATTCAGATGGCGCCCCCACCGCCCGAACCCCTCCCGGTGCCTGCTAGTCCTCCCTCCAGCTCTCCTGTCTCCGCCTCTCTGGAGTCACGTGGGCTGCCCAACCCCTTACATATTGAGCCCAAGTCTGGCACCAGACCACCTCCCGCATGCCCTCCCTTCACCCTCCCCTGTGTCTGCCGCTCATAGCTCCTCGCTGGCTTGAGCCTCCAGGTGCGACCTCCAGTGCCTTATCTCAGGCTGAGATAAGGGTGGCTGAGGGGCCGGGAATAGGGGGCATTTCTCTGCCCTGGGAAAGCAGGGACCAGCAGGACTCCGCAGTGTCTGTTTGTTGGGAAGGCATCTGCAGCAGCTCAGCCCCTGCTAGACTGGGCTGTCCAGACCTCCTTCCTGCCCTCTGGAAGCTTCCCTCATCCTCTGCGGAGACTTTGTTGCTCTTAAACTTCCACATCCCTCAGCCCTACTGGAAAGAAAAAGAGAGAGGTTGATTTCTCCTCTCCTCCTAAAGACGACAAGACCCAGCTCCTTCTCCAAAGCTCAAGTAGGCTAAGCTTATCTTTGGGTTCACAACATCTTATGGGTGCAAAGATCATGAACTAGAGATTTGAAGATCCACTAGAATTCCAGTCTGTATGACCTTGGAGCCTTTCACTTTCTAGCTTTTCTTCTCTAGTCTGTGAAATAACCAGCTTGCAGCATTGTCATGAGAATGAGAAATCGTCATGTTCTTAGAATTGCCTAGCCTAGTGTTGGACACATATTTGGGGGCTCAATATAAAAGAATTCTTCTTCCCCCACCTCTGTTAAAATAAATTTCATAAAACAAGAAGGATGTGATGTATGTGAAAACAGTGAGAGCATCTTTTTAAACATGGAAGGAGGCATCTAAGTGGTCAGGCTAGACAAGTACTAAATGGAGACAAGAGAGAGATAAGGCTTATATTTTATATTGGCTCCTTTAAGATGAGTGTCCCAGAGCCAAGTTATGTCCCAAAAGGATTGGGACTGGATGGGACCAACCCAGGCATGCTTGGCCACATCACTGAATGAATTATTTAACAAGCATTGAGAAGATTGATTTGGATGAAAGTTGCCTACATAAATTCTTGCACTTTGGCCCAAGCCCTCAAAACACATGGGAGATAACAAAATGTAAGTCCCCTACCCTTGTAAATAAATTCACTGGGCTTGTGTCTGGGGAGAATACTGGCTGACTGACACTCCTTTGCTAGGGTGGAGCAGTTCAAATCTAGCTCTAGGTTGTGGGTCTGCCCTGGGATCTTCCCAGAAAGTTGATTGATCATTGCCAGGACAGTCTTGGTTAAGTCCACTCACTTCAAGCCCATTATTGCCTTTGATGAGCATGTAGGTCTGATAATGTCCCCATATGTTAAGCCTCTGAGTAGTTCTGCAGGATATGTCAGACCTCCTGGGATCACCAAGAAGCTGTGAGACATTGTAGAAAAAGTGTAAAGTTAAAAAATCAGAAATCTTAGTGCAGGCGCTGCCAGCTACTTATCATATGATCTTTCCCAAATCACTTAAATTCTCAGACTCCCATCTTTAGAATGGTAAAGGAATGTCTGTCTGCCTTCTATATAAGAGAGTTGTGATGTTTAGATGGGATAGTGCATGAGAAGTCACTGTAAAAGGTAAAGAGTAAACACATATGAGCTATCAATATGATGGACTGAGGAAAACCCTGAGTTTATTCTAGTCCGAATGAATTCAGAGGGTGATAAGATGGGAAGATGGGATTTGTCGTGGAATAGGCAGTTACTAAAATGTTGGTATGTTTTTCTAAGTCTGCATGTATGCTCGTAGCTCAGGGGAGGTAATTATTGGAGAACTGTGTTCTTTGTTTCACTCTTTACTGTGATAAATTTTCTCTGGCCTTTTATCTTTAGAATACTAGACACAATTACAATGGTTATGAATATTTACTATCTGACAGAAATTTGTGCCTATATTTCAGGACAGCAGGGTTTAGACTTTTCTGCCTTTGCTAGGTAAAATTGACTTGAGTTGGTAATTCAAAATGGCTTTTATTTCCAAGAAAAAATATTCAAATGCCAGGAGCAAATTCCAGACATTCATCAGCAGCTTGAATAATGATATGTGTTTCTAATCCAGTGCCACTAAACTTAACAAAATCCTCACACAAATCTGGAACTCCTGGAACCCCCCAAACCTTAAGCAGATTCCAATCCTATTTCCTGGTGTACTTCCCTTTAATATTCTTTGGAAATTGACAATCTGGACCTCTTTGTATTTAGGGAGACTAAAAGACCAGAAAGTGTCAACCATGCTTCTATATGTACCACTGAAAAAATTGTCTGGGCTAGGTAAAATGCTGCTTCTGACTCTTACCTACCTCTGTATTGTCATCAAGAAACATGAGAAAGGGAAAACTAAGCATGAAGTCATTTAACTTGATGATGCCTTTATGAGCAGTTACCCGGGCAAGTATAAATTTCAGAAATTTTGAAATTTTCTGAAAATTAATGTTAATGTTGAGTCCTAGTACCATCTAAATCAGAAAATTTTGGACAGTTTTACCAGAAATTGCTCTAGGACTCTGAATGTATATATTTTTCAAAGCAGTTTTAAATGTCCAAGGCAACTTTACCCAGTGAAGGGCAGAAGAGAAAGCTAAGGAAACAGATCTTGCATAGATTGCAGTAGAAAGTTATACCTTAGCAATGATTTCTTGTAAAGGTTTCCCTTGGGTCCTCCCTTACTTATAAGTTCTTGTCTTTTGGATGATGACTGTTGACTTTATCATAAGCCACTGCAAACACTTTCCAGCTGTAAGTAGAACATTAATGAACAAAGAAATCGAAATGCAGTAGACAAAAATCTAATTGTTTAGAGCCATGCACGGCAGCAACAACAGGTGAACATCTCAGTTCCAGAGTCCAACAATGATATTACAGAATGACTACTAACTAGATCTTTAAAGTACACATCCTTGTTTTCTTGGTCCAACAATTGGAATGTTGATTCATTTACTCAACCTATTCTAGACACTTAGGATACAGCCACGAACAATACAGAAGTTGTTCTGCTCTCCTTGAGCTTACAATCTAGAGCAGGGGTTCAGCCCATAAACAAGTGTGGAGATAAGTATCGTGATGGAAATACAACAGAGCAATATAATGGAGAGTAAGGGGACACCACTTTAGTTAAGTGGTAGAGAACTAACATAAGCAAGTGTGGGGCCCAGAGACAAAAGCGATCACTCTCCAGGGAAGCAGCAGAGCACTCTTATCTAGGGCCTTTTGCCAAAACAGGGTCATTAAAAGGGTAATCACTAAAATCCCTCATGACTGACCTGCTTGAACAATGGTGGTTAGGCCATGAGGGAATGGGCCAGATGCCTTAAAAACGATTCTCCGTTTTTTGTCTCATGATTCATGAAAATGAGTACCTGAGCTTTCTTCTAGAAGGATGCCAAGCTCATCAGTGCCCCTGACCCTTGCCTCTGAGCAGAATCAGAAACTGAGAAAACAAAGACACTGTGATAGCCTGGCTAGTGGCTGGTCTGAAGCTTTCCAAAGGGAGCACAGTACCTTTGAGCAGCAGGAAGACAGGAAACAAGACACACAGCCAGAACTGAGCATATCATAGGCACACCGTAAAGATCAGTTAGACAAATGACCTGCTGCTAGGATCCTACCAATTGGACTGGAAATTTATAAGCAAATTATCTATGAGTAAATTTAGGTATTTAAATTTCAAAAGAAAGGAGAATGCTGACCTAAGCATGCTCATTTTATTTCTAAATTTACAATTGAATATAGCACTTTCCCCATCCCTACCCCGTGCAGAGTAAATAAAGTTGCCTAATCAGTGAAACTGTGGAGACAAGACACAGGTCAGGATTGTCAAACCAATGGAGTTCCTTGACATGGAAGGAATCGTTCAAGCAAACAATTCTTCCCATTTATTATGTATTTCTTTCCTTTAAATACATTCACTTTTCTAAATTAATTTATTTTAAAGAGGTTTTCATCACTACTTTAAATAGAAAACTGATATCAGTTGTCATAAATACAAGGCAACAATTTAAACAAACACAATGAAAATAAAACAATGCTGTTATAGTCAAGAAAAATACTTTAGCCTGTGCAGGTACCTAACTAAGGCGTGCTTTCTTGTTAAAAGGGAAATTAGCAGCTGTTAGTGAGGTGTTAAAGGCATTGAAATCAAACTGAGACTTTCTCCATAAAGTAACCAAAAAGATTGAATGATAAGTGGAGAAGGGCTAACCTTGCCACTATACGATTACAGGCCACTTAACGTTGAGCCCCAGTACCGTCCAAATCAGTATTTCCCTAACTCTAATGTGCATAGAAATCATCTTGTTAAAAATGCATAATGAGATTCAGTAGGATGAGGATGGGACACATTTCCAGCACAGTCCCAGTGACATTGATGCTGCTGATTCTTGGACTACCCTTTGAGTAGCAAGGATCTTTGAGTAGCAAGTACCTTTGATGATATATTTTCCATATTTTAGGAGATACTCGCTCTTATTTTAAAGAAGAGAAGAGTTGGCACTCAGAGGTTTGACTAACCTCAGTTAGTTTTCTTGTTCCAACAATTGGAATGTGGAAGTGTTGATTCATTCATTCCGCATATTCTAGACACTTGGGTGATGGTCATGAACAATACAGAAATGGTATGTCTTAGGACCTCTTAGTTGGTAGATGAGCCAGAGCTAAAACTCACAGTTTACAGATCTGTCTCCCAGTCTGGGTGTTCCTTCCCAAAAGATCTGTAAAATATCTTGCTTACTAGGGCCAAAAAGCCACCCCTTTTCAAGGGGCCACAAGATGAAAGCCAAAGCTTGGACTGCTTTATTCTATAGGTTATTCTGTGTTGATACAGCGTGAAAGTCAGTGCTTGGACTCTGATGGTCAATAGGTTATTCTGTGGTAATGTACACACTCAAACTTTCAGTAGCTTGAAATAACACAAGTTTATTTACTGTTCACATTATGTACACACTGTCGGTCACTGTGGGCTCCACTTTATGTAGTCACTCAGTACTATTTTATAAGGTCTTGTCTCA